CGGTGTCTAAATTGAAGAATGCGGTCTACTTAAGGACCGAGCATCGAGTGTGAGTTAGCTCCTATAGATTTGTTTACATAGATGAAAATCCATTTTTTTTATTCTCTGTATCAATAAAAATCCATGTGTCTGTGTTTTCTTTATTTTGCTTCCATTTTGACCAGCCACAACATTATTTATTTAATTGTTTCAGTTATGTGCTCCCGGACTCGCACTGCATTTTGGCTGAGGTTGTTCTTCAGTAAAAATTTAGATGGTAACTTGTGTTTAGTAAATTCCAATGGAAAACATATCAAAATTAACTAGATTAATCGATGATAATGCAGCTAGCTATAGAGAAAAGAGTAGTCGATGACTCATGTCCATATCTACTTGCCATTTGGCCTAAAGGTAACAACATGACATTAGTACACATCTCGATTTTCTTTCACTCGTTATAATATAATTTTACTGTGATTCAGAAAATCCCGACAAGAAAGAACGCGACTCTGGAGAAGACACGGTCTACGGAACACTTGTGGTGAGAGAAAATTTGCATGTTAATCACTTTCTTATATATTTAATTATTTGCATGACTCGCTCAAAAATCGAAATGACTATATATGTTCAGTTACCAACCCGAACAGCGATGAGGGGAAAGTTTCCACTTAACGGAACATATTTTCAGGCCAACGAGGTGATCAATACTTATTATATTACTATTGTGTTAAGTTAAACATCATCTATTTTGAAATATATCATGTTGCTCAGAATGTTTGTCGATTTGAGCAGGTCTTTGCTGATGACGAGACGTGCGAATTTCTCATTAAAGTTTCAAAGGCATCCATTTTAAATCTTCCATGCACGACTCTGTATTGTGGAAACAATGTATCGACGATATGCAAAGGTGAAATTAAATTGGATACTACACAAAAACTAGTGTGATAATTTTTTTGTTGAGAAGATTGTCGGCAAGTAATGTTTCCGTTTAAAGCAGGTATGAAAGCTCATGAAGTTCGAAAATGCTTCCGGGAAGGTATGCGATTCACACTCAAAAGTACTTATATAAATCTGTAAGGAGATCATATGATAACTAGACAAAAAAAATGCACTCTATGAAAACAGGATACATCTGTTTGCGAAGGTTCAACAGGAAAACAAGGGAGTCGAAACCTCTGTCGGCAAGATTCTATTTTCCAGCAAAACCGAGCAACCTTAGTGACACGAAGACGAAACGCCGATGATCGTGAACCCGAAGAAGATAAGATGCTGCCTGAAGATGCACATAACTTCAAATGTTTTCACATATAAATGATTTATTTATTTTATTTATTTTTTTTCTCTCAACAAAATATTTATTCTAAAAGGTGAATATCATCATTATTTGGACATTAATTGTTGGTCAAATGCTCTTATTTCACTTCTTGTCATTCATGCCAAGAGTATTCTTCACACCATCAATTGCACCCTGAGCCATATGGGCCATTTGTTCTCCAGTCTGCAATTTTTAACATATAAAATAAATAAAATAAAAGAGTTAATAATATTTAATTTAATAAAATAAATTAAATCAAATCAAATAAATAGAAAATAATTTATTTTCCCATTAATAAATTAATTAAATAACCTGCTGAAAGAATCCAGCTGTTTCCTCCTTGCTACGTTGGGCCTGCCCTTGGGTTTCTCCGGCAGCTTCACAGGCTTTGTCGTGGGCCTGATTTGCAGTGCTCTTAGCGGACTCAACCCACTGCTCAGTCTTACCCTGCCCCACACACACACATGCAGCAATTAATTGTTTTGTTTATCTTTGTATTAATTATTTGTTTCTTCATTAAAAAAAGATAGGAAGATTCTACTGTCCTGTTACGGAATCATTCCGTCGGGGTTTGTAACCGTTAGATCAACTAATCCCGACGGTTACATAATGATCTAACGGTTACAAATCTTGACGGAATGTTTCCGTAACTAGCATTTCCCAAAAAGATAATACCATATAGACAATCAAACATTTAATGTAATTATATTTCAATATTTTACTCTCTCATGGTTTTTATATTGGATCAATTATGCAAACAAAATCTTATTACAAATTTGAACCACCATCTAACATGGGTTTTATCGGTGTTATTAAATATCGTATCGGTGGTTTTACTGGTCTAGCAACAGGTACGCGGTATTACGGGTCGGACCTTTAATATCGGTGGTATTACCGGATTAGCAAATATAATGATATATATAAATATACATAAAAATATATAATACCAAATGCAAAACAGTAAAAAAATAAATGACCATAATCATTAAGTTCACCATCGCAATGAGATAAAAATAAAACATTGTAACTACCAATTTAAATTTTATTTTTTAAATTAATAAATTTTATTTTTTTATTGGCCGGTATTTTGGACCGGTATTTTGCGGATTTTACGGTATGATCCCGGTACAAACCGGTATAACCGTAAATCTGGTATTTTGTGTGTATTTGTACCGTACCACTGGCCAGAATCCGATATTACCGATCGGTACGGTATTTAAAACACTGGTTTTTATATTGGATTAAATAAAACATAGTAGTATTTTGTAATGTACCTGTGCTTGGCCGTGAGTTTGTCCAACATTGAATTGACCGCTCGACATCTTTTCTTTTATAACCTTGGGGAAGTTAAAGAGGCAACAAATTCTTGAATGAAAGCAAAGTTGAGTACTGTGAATGACAAGGAGAGTTTGGTCTATTTATAGCTTTTTTGGAATGGTAAAGAGAGTAACAAATGGCGTCGTCATCTATTACATTGTTAGAGATGAGTGATATGTGTTGATGCCTTTGACCTAAACAATGGGAAGTTGAATCCTAGTTCTTTCCACTCCCTATTCTATCGACAAAATAACTATTTTAGGTAACAACGTTTTGTAAATTAACTCCCCCATTATGTCGACAAATAACTATAAACTCGCTTCTTTGCTTCAATTTTCTTATTAGATTGGGCTACAATATGTGATACCATACCAGGTCGTGTGCTACTTTAACAACTGTTCATACGAATCGGATAAACCGTCAGGTCGGTCAGATAACGAGGACGTCAAAGGTCGAGGAAACGTCAGGACGATGGTTATAGTGAGATAGCCCGCCAAGAGGTCGAGCTAGGGCTCTTGGCTAGCTTGATGGAAACTCAAACTGGAAGTCTGAAGGTCGAGGTATGACCTAAGAGACAAGCTTATCCGCTGAAGGTCAGAGCAATCTAGCTCAAGGAAAATTGAGCTTAATATGGGATACCATATTAGGTCGAGTACGACCCATAGAGCGGTTT